TCTCTCTCTCTCTCTCTCCGTAGGTAAAGGCGAAGATGTGCGTAGTGATGGTGAGCGACCTCAGAGTGACAGAGGGGGTGCTGCTGTTTGGGAAAGAGAGCCTTCTCCTGTGTGAGGGATTCACTCTCAGTCCTGCTGGAGATGTATGTTGCAGGAAACACCACCCCAGCAGGTACAGCTGTGTGCATGTACAACCAAAACATGTAACAAGCATATGTTACATTCTCAGTTGTCTCAATCACTTAGCTGACATCATCTGTGTCCCTTTCTTTCCTGCCAGCGTGAGGGATTCCTTTATTTCCACCATGCTGAGTAAAGAGCTGCCATCAGCAAGGTGCAGACGCTGGCTCTATGAGGATATCAAGGAGGCCCGCTTCATGCGTTTCCTTTTAGAGGTCAGACATACAAATGCTAACCCTAACCCAGATGCATTGAATTAACATGTTCGTAAACAGGATTTGGTTGGAATGCATTTACATCAGATCAGATTTGTTGTGCATTTAGTTAGTACATTAGTTGTTTCTGCTTTAATCAAGGCACATGTTCAGTTTAAAAGGGATCTAATGGATAAAACTATCTACTTGACACTAACTAAAGAGCCACTGTGTCTCTCTGTTCTCTATCAGGACAATGCCATTGAGGTATTCATGAAAAATGGACATTCAGCCTTCCTGGTGTTTCTGAATAGAGACCATGTGTCTGCATATAAAAGGTACTAAATTTATATAAAGTGGATGTTAAGTTATTTTTTTTTTTTAGCATTCTGACTGATCTTTATTCCTTCCTCTCTCTCTTTCCCTCAGGTTGTGCACGGTAGTGTCAGCATTAAAAGGCAGAGGGGTTGCTGAGGTCATTGCTAACGCCAGGTAAATGTCCTCAGTTAGTCATCCAACAGCAATATAACGAGACAGTTACATGTACATACTCTTTATTGCTTCAATTGAAATGGAAAATACATCCAAAAAATAATTGTGTGACATATAATAAGATATTATGCAAATATTTAAAATTAAGTTTTTAGGGCTGCCTAAAAATGGAGGTTAAAATGACATCAGCAGCTGTTTGGTCATTTGATTGGCTTGTATTCCACATTTCTTATTCTCCACACATCTTGATTGACTGTAGCCACTGAGTTTGGCACCATCAGTCCTGGATAAGTCCTTATCCTTTTGTCCTCAAACATGTCTCCTCCTCCTCCCCCTCCTCCTCTCGTAAGCCTTTCCCTATGCTCTTTACATCTCTTAAGGCATGTCCTACACAGACTGCTCTCGTGGACCAGGTACACATCCTGCTCTGGTTCAGATTTTTCATTCAGCATCCCTTCACAATCCCCCTGACCATATGATAGAGGATTTCGTTTCATGTTGACCTTAGTTAGGTTGCGTAGGATTGTCACAAACTCCGGTAGCTTGATGAAGAAGTTATCAAACAGGCCTAACTCTTGGAGACTTTCTAGAGCCACCATAGTGGAAGGCAGGGTGTCAAGTTGGTTCATCCCCAGATTGAGACTCTTGAGGCTGGAGAGAAAACCCAATGTGGAGGGTAAACCTGCGGAGGTTAGACGGTTGTTTGAGAGGTTAAGGTGGGTCAATCCCACCAGGTTGCCGATAGACTCGGGTACAGACTCCAGCCTGTTGCTGTGTAGATCCAGCCCTCTGAGTGACGAAAAGTTCCCGATGTTATCTGGGAGTTTCTGTATCAGGTTTCGGCTGAGGTCCAACTCATCCACGTTAGTCAGTTTGAGGAGACACTTTGGGAAGATTGTTATACCCATGTTGCAAAGAGTGAGTCTGCGCCGTCCATCTGGGGTCATCCGTATCGCCTTTTTGGCAATCTTGAGGGTCACCTTTGTCCCTTTGGCTCCCTTTCCTTTGGGCATGGTACTGCAACACACAGAATTACTGAGCAGTTCAGATTCAAATTACAGCTCGGCCTCACTTTTGTGATAGTTGCCCCCAAGAGACTGATTTGCAATATTCTATCTAATCTACAGCACCACGCATTACTATAGCAAATAAATGTGTTGTGTGTATGTTTACGTGTAAGTATGTGTGTGTAAGGCTGATGTGATTTATTCAGATACAAGGGCTTATGTATGGCCTGGGGCAGTAGGGAAAGCATGCTCTCTGAGGTATGAGAGCTTGAGTGGTGTGTATGTGTGTATGTGTGTGTGTGTCACAGTGTTATGTCTGCACTATTGCGTGCTCACCCAGTGTTGCCCATGGGGGTATTTAAGAGCACGACTCTCTAATTAAGGCTAATGCTGGGGAACAATAGGAGAGAGGCGACACTGGGTAATACAGCAAAAACAAATGAGTGCTGATGCTCCCTCACCATTCAACTGATTGAGCTGTTTGGCTCTTTTCAGGCAAAGACTGTGTGTGTGTGTGCGTGTGTGTGCGTGTGTGTGCGTGGTTGAGTTGGACATCCACATGCAAGTGTGTTGACAGACTTGGGTGTACAGTACTACAGTATGTGTGCCTGTGCACAAAGAGTCAAATCAGGACTTTGATAAATGATATTTAGGGAGTGTTGGGAGTGTGATGAGGGCTTCACTCCTCTCCCCTCCCTGTCTAAAAGAGCAAGGTGTGTGTCTGTTTGTGTCTGTGTTACACCCCAAGGCCCTCTCTCGCCTCATTCATCATCCTCAGGATGAGAGAGGTTATCCACTGGTGCTTGTTCCTATTATAACCTCCTATAGAAAACTATTGCATGAAATTATTGCCTGCAATTAGATAACACATACTGGGCCAAATGCAATGATTGATTTAGTGTAGTTTTACAAAATAATTTGGTCAGGAGTTATTGGACGAGGGAAGGTGTTAGAAATTGGATACACTTCAAGTAGCCCCTTGCTCTCTCAACCCATTTACTATATGCATCCTTATTTAATTCTTCAGTTGGTATCTTATTTTATTCTTGTTTAAAACTTGCATCTACATTTTCAGCATAAATGAAGATTGTGTACTCACCATATTTTATCTTCTTCTTCTCTCTGAGCTGACGTTAATCAAGTGATGAGATTGTCTTCAGTTTTATAAACATGCCAGCAGCTTTAGCTCCTGTGAACCAGCTCGAAGCCTCTCACCTACGTGCCAGAAAAACTCAATTACTGTAGTCGTAATGTTATAGCATAGCAACAACAAAAAAAGCCCCATAAAACACCACAAAACTACATTCCCACTTTGGTCAGCATGTAGAAGTTGTAGTATAATACCTGGTAGTCGTATCTCACAAAATGTTGTGGTGAAGTCAAAAGGAAAGATCAGGAATGGACCGTTTGTGTATATCTACATTTCCCTAGCCTGCCTACACCAAACAAGGAAAGTCAAGGTTCCTCTTGTTTAATAGCGTTACTTAGCAACTGGGGTGCTTGGCGCCAGGACTTTATTGCCATGTTACTGGCCACAGAGGGAAAAGAGATTTCAGGAGCAGTTTAATGCTTTCCTAATTTAGATTAAACAAGTGTTAGATAGGTGCTACAGGAGTAAAATGCTAATGAATGTTGCAACATTGTCAGTTAGTATAGATGTTTTTCTTTAGCCGAACAAACGCTCTGGTAGATTAATTGGCACCTTTTCTAGGTGTGTGCCTCCTGTTTGAGTGAATTCTTCATAAAGGATCACCTTAAAACACTCTTTGAACAAACAACTAGCTAAATTGAAAAAAATATATTATTTGCCTTTGCTATGAAGCAGGAAATCTTTATTCTTTTTTTCTTCTGTGACAGAAACTTAAAAGAAAGGTGTTCCTGTTTGACCAGTAATCATTAACCCCTGCATGTCATTTAAAAACTCACTGCACAGGGAATGTTTCACTTCCTCTTTTAAAAAGCTCACTGCTAGTGATACAAGTTACAGTCTTACTTAAAGTATATTTCCTCACAACCTACGGATGGCACCATGCACTACATCCTGAACATTTCTACTCACTATCTATTATGCTACCTGCTGTAGCTCACCTCAATCCCATAACTTCTCCTACAGCTGTGTACACACGATGTTTGTCTCACTCACTCACCTCCACTCTGCTGCTTCAGAACTCTGCTGTGTTACATTTCAACACTGGTTGCCAGGCAACAGAGCAAGCAAAAAAAATAACTTTTGTGTTGGTAGGCACTGTTCAGTGATCAGCCTCTGATGCTAATTCAATGCCATGTATTATATTTTATTTTTTTATTGTGCTTTAGGAAGACTCCTGTGGTTGAAAAGGCAGCCCTTGTTAAATGGCAGGTAATGCAATAAACACGTCATCCTCTTCAAAGTTGTTTGTGCTTACACATTCACTTTTTACTTCTTTGACACCAGTAGAGACTGCTTAAATGTTGAGTTTATGACTTATAGTAATAGTAAGCCAGTTCCACTTTTGATTATAACTGTTACATTTAATTATTGTTTATAACTGTAATGCCATTATCAGCTTCATATTAGTCTTGTCTGTCCTCCAGAGAGGGGAAATAAGTAACTTTGAGTACTTGATGCATCTGAACACCATCGCTGGGAGGACATACAATGACCTGATGCAGTATCCAGTCTACCCCTGGGTCCTAGCTGACTACCAGTCAGAGGTTAGATCACGCACAGTAATGTCTTTGTCTTTGAACATTCATATTGTAGGGCGGCTATGGTAATGAAAGTGTTATGTGTTTGATTTAGACCCTCAATCTGTCGAATCCTGCAACTTTCCGTGACCTGTCTAAGCCAATGGGAGCTCAGACAGAGAAAAGGAGACAGATGTTCATCCAGAGATATGAAGAAGTAGAGAACATTGAGGGGGAAGGTATGTATTTAGCTCTTTACTTTTCTTCATTTCTTTGCTTTTCAGTGTACTCTTTAGTCACTGCATGTTTTACTCTGTAGGAGATTTGTCAGCACGATGCCACTACTGTACCCACTACTCCTCAGCCATCATCGTAGCCTCCTTCCTTGTCAGGATGGAGCCGTTTTCACACACTTTCCGGACCCTTCAGGTGAGGCCTTGGACACGAGAAATAGGCCTAAATTATTTGCTTGCTGACCCATTTCCACAACAAAATTAAAAATCTACTTCTTGAGTTAAGAATAGCATAGAATTGAAAATGTAATCATTGTATGAATTCACTTTATTGTTTGTGTCCTAGCATTAAATACATCCATCGCATGAAAAATATACTTAACAAACACTGCAGTTCTGTCCCCGAGGCTGTGTAACACAGTCTGAAGTGGCACAGCAGACATTAAAAGGTCAATAATAAAAGCTTAAAATGATAGAAATGAATACAGTAAGTTTGCTGAATAATGAAGCTTGAAGTATGTGTGAAGGTATAATGTAGGAATGTAATGACTGCTGATCCACTACAGATTGTGTGATGATCCAGAAAAAGGAGAAAGTTCAGCTTATTCTGTATCAGTCTGTTTCCACTAACCCACAGACCCTTCTGCAAACCCAGTGCTCCACATGCCCATTCACATTCATCACTTTGTCATTTTTTTTATTTTCAGACATTATCTTGCTAATAATATGACTCTAATATGAGCTATTTTCAGCTCTTCAGATCCTGTTTCAATGCTGTTTTTTGGTATGAAAGCAGATTGTAGAGAGATTTCAATATATATGCAAATAATTACAGAAAGTATCTAAAAGAAGCCAATGCAAATAGCCACAGATGTTACCAATTTACAATACAACATCCAATTGATTATAATGAAAAGGCATGCATATTTGATAGTCAGAATAAAGCAATAAAGATGTTAGTCTGGTGAATTACAGTGCCTTTTTGTCTTCTGAAGCGCATAACGGGTGTGTAGTAATATCCATAACTGGATTTACATCTCTAACCGAGTTTACCAGTATATATGCTATTTTCATTCATTGAGGTAATTGTTTTACTCTAAATTACATTCTCTCTCATGAGATTTCCATCATATATTATGGAATTTTACAGAAAGATGAAAAGCTTCCTTCAAATAGTAGCAAATATTTCCTGCTTACATAATACAATGAAGAATATAAAATATGGTTCACCACACTGAATCAGGCAGACTACTCTTTATTAATATGCCTGTTGTAAAGTTTGCTTCAACTGTGTGCCGGGGGGCCTGACAGTGTTGTGCCTTGTCTTCCCACAGGGAGGGTTTGATATCCCAGAACGGATGTTTTACAGTGTAAAGAAGGAGTGGGAGTCTGCCTCCAGAGACAACATGGGGGACGTCAGAGAGCTGATCCCAGAGTTCTTCTACCTGCCTGACTTCCTGGTCAACTCCAACCACATCCAACTGGGTCAGGAACAAAAATCAATCCTCTGTGTAGACCATTTGTTTCTAGAAGACTTGAATCTTTAGAACCTGGTCACATATATAGTGTACAGTTATTTCTTCAAATAGCTGGGCACTGTAGATTTTAGCAACAATACCCATACAAGAGTGAATAGTGAAGTTGTTGGACTATTTTACTCATTTGGTGGTGAGTACAGCAGCAGGGTGGTGTGTTTAGACTAATAATAATAATAATAATAATTAACTTATTAAATTATTAATTAACTACAGTTCATCATAATAAGAACATATCACCCAGTGCATCAGTGTGGCTCACTTATGTGTTTGTAATACACAGAGGAATAAGCTGTATTAGTTTTTGGCTACATTGCCATTACTTTCTACAATTTATTTTGGTTTTGGTCTTGCTCCATAGTGCCACCAGTGGCAAAAAAAACTCCACAGGGTATCTTAAAAGGATAACACACAGTTAAGTAACCCAGCATGCTGTATTTGCTGTATATCCATATCTCTATAGGCTGCATGGAGGATGGTACCACTCTGGGAGATGTGGAGCTGCCTCCATGGGCGAAAGGTGACCCCCAGGAGTTCATTAGAGTCCATCGAGAGGTCAGTGACCCCCAACCTCACCGGGCCTGTCTGTTACCATTGGCCAGTCTCGCCTGTTACATACAGGGACTTTTCCCGTGAGACCTAATAATGTTTGTCAATACTAGTTGATGTACGTACACAGAAGATGTATTGTTTTAGTGTTTAAAACAAGTATCCACTGTAATAGTGTTGGTTGCAGTCAGTCTGTGTGTCTTCTTTCTTGCTGCCACAGTATAATAGAGACAGATCTTATTCACATCAGCCACTGTCTCATTCGTTATATTCTCTAAAGGCCATTTTGTCTCGTTGAGTTTGGTTCTTTCTTTTAGTACTCACTGTTTTCGGATATAATGGCCAGTTGTTTTTCTTATCATGAAAATGCATGAAAAGGCATGTATCTGAAGTTTAGATGACAGACATTGAAGGACAACAAGCCTATTTAACACTATTCAGGGCAGGGACAAGACTCTGTTTCTTATAATGCCATTATTTTTGCCAGCTCTTTATGGGATGAATATTCTCTCTCTTTTCTCAACTCTTTCTTCTCTTTCCATGTGTGGGGTTATTGTATATCTCTGTTCTTTTTCTCTCTGACCCTCCCTTTTTCCATTCCTGGGGCATCTAAGATGGTTATCACTCTGTAATCTACTGAACTACTCATATTGCCTACCATTCTCATAAAATTAGTGACTTTAGAAGATTGTTTTTTCTTCCATAGACAAATTAACTCAGGACAATATATCCTTGTTATGATGTTTTTTTTATTTTTCGGTTTCTGATATTCCAGGATAGGTTTATTACGATTGGGTGCAAGGATACACATGCTGGTCATAATGCCCACTTTTCCTTATTAACTCTTCAAAACCAATCGCTGGCTAATTCTACCCAAATCATTCTTTAATTCAAACATGAATATACGCTCATAACATAGCTGTGCAGCTTCCTGCCGTTCCAGACTTCTAAATTGACTTTTGGAAGAAATCATACAGTACCTGAATAATTTGATTGGTTGTGCATTCTCATAGAAGTTTCTTGTGTTTCTAAACTCTCATATTAACAGTTTGACTGATGGTTTTGGTCGCACTGTAATAACAATGAGAACTGCACTGCACAGTGCATGTATAGTAGTTTTGTAATATTACTTTACTAGGTGGTCTTAGTTTGTGCAACAATCTCCTGCACTGTTTCCCTTAGGCTTTGGAAAGTGACTATGTGAGTTCCCACCTCCACCTATGGATCGACCTGATTTTCGGGTTCCGGCAACAAGGCCCCGCTGCTGTGGAAAGCGTGAACATGTTCCACCCTTATTTCTATGCTCAGAGAGGCCGCCAGGGTGCTAAAGACCCCATCATCAAGAGCACAATCTTGGGATACGTCAGTAACTTTGGCCAGGTTCCCAAACAGGTAAAAAGAACAAACTAATTGGGGGAAGATTCCTGCCTGTAGATGTATCATATTCTTTTTAAAAATAATCCTAATTCGTGAATTATCTGCGTCTTACCTGTAGCTCTTCACCAAGCCGCATCCACCTCGCAGTGGCTCTAAGAAAGACGGATCTTCACCACCCCACCCTACTCCATTTTTCTTCAAACTGGACAAACTAAAGACCACTGCGCAGCCATTCAGAGGTACTGCTAGACAATAAAAGGGAGCTCAGACAGCAAATAAGCTCTTAATATTAAGGAATTATTCAACATTTTGGACGAAAACTTGGCTTTTTTGTTTTCTTG